TTCAATCTTATTTTAAACTGTTGATTTTTTTTTAATGGGCCAGTTGAGTGGTTTACTAGTTTTGTGCATAGGCTTGGAAGTTAGCTGACTAGAGGTTGAACTCTTCTACATATGGCTGTGTGTCTTTGTGCAAATTGCTTATCCTGCTAAGACTCAGTTTCCTGATGTCTAATCTGGGAATGAAAATAGTGAGTGCTCTTTTGGGCCAATGTAAGGATGATATGAGATAACACATGGAAAGTACTTCACACAGTACTCAGTTCTGCCAGCTAAAAATAAAATCTGTAGATCACTGTATAGTTTAAAAAGTACTTTAGTATTCTCTTGTTTCATTTTTTCTAAACAAGGATTAAAAGTAGAACAATAAATTTTTCATGGCCCCTTTTTCCCACTATTTGAAAAGTCTTACCTACTTTTCTTTCTGAGAAATCATTTTTCCTGATGAGACTATATACCAGAGTAGGAGGATGAAGATTAGTTAACAGTCAGTATTTGGTCTTTGAAAATGAAACCCAGGATGTCAAGTTCTCATCTCACTTTGAAAAAGTCATTACTCTGTGGACATTTAAGTCTTATATAGCCCATAGTGCTTCATGAGCTTTTTATAAGTTAAACTCTGGCACACTCATTGTGTCCTTTTCAGAACTTCTGCCATCACTTGAATGGCCTTAGACACAGAGGTTGTTGGCATCTCAGCCGCAATAGACCAGCACGGCAAAGAGAATAGATCAAGAATATATAGAGCTTAGGCTTGAGGAATAAATTTTAGAGGAGCAGGCTTTCAAAAGGAAGGTTCGTAGAAGTCAAGATATGATATACCAGTGGTTTTGAAGTACTTCAGATGGTACTGATGCCCTACGAGTTTGGTGGGTGGAATGCAGTGGGATTTTCTTGGCAAAGGTAGTACTTACAATTCGGCAGGTAATAGACTCAGGGTTTCAGGAAGCTCTTCTAGGTTAAAAGTTGACCTAGAGCCTAGCCAGTACCCAGAGAGACAGGGAGCGTATTCTGACGTCTGGAGGATAAGGGAGAGCTATGCAGAGTGAGGGGTGATGTGAAACAAAAACTTGCTTATGCTTTATGATAAATGAAGAAGAGGCTGTGAAAGTGTTTTGAAATTATTCTATAGTGCTATATAAACGTTAGTGTTGTGAAATCTAATATGCTACCTCCCATCTGTTTCCAGTCCCAAAGAAGGGACCCAAGGGCTAGACAATGGGGTGAGTTGGGTGGAGGGAAAAGCAGCTACAGCTCTATAGGTACTTGGTCGCATCTGATGCAGATGAGCGACCCCACTGATTTGCAAGCCTGTCTCGAGCTGGTTCGGGAGCCATCTGGGTAGATCCTGCAAGTTGAAGATCCTCAGGAGCAGCAAGGTGGGGGTCATTGGATTGTACAGACTTCTGTCAGTCCTTTCTCAAACTTTATCTGTGGTCGGCAGTTCAACCCCTATTCTGCCAGCCTCCACTTTGGAGAAAGAAGTGTTGACAAAGGAAGATTGTATTCAGTGTAATCTGCTACGTTTAGCTGGCTTTTTTCATATCAGAAGAGTTTTCTGTTTTTTCATTATAAACCTCTAAGACCATCAGTGTCATATCATAGTACCAACGTTGAAGGAACGCTTAGATTTTGTAAGTAAATTCTGCTACCTGTGTTCATTAAATCATCTAGTGAAAAAGTTGGTAACTATCTTAGACTGTCATGTGATGGCCCACTGTTCTTTCAGTCTCATTCCTCCCCCCAAACTCTTGTCCTCAGGTAAATTAAACTCTTGGTTTCCCAAACATACCTTCTTACCAGTGTTATATCCCAGCCTGTCACCTTTGCCAGCACACTTGAACTCTTCTTTCCCTTATTCTTTGCCTATCTGAATCCCTTCAGTTTCGCAGTGGCAGTGTGGTATATGGAGAGGAAGTAAGCTGGGAATCCGAAGACCTACATTCTTGTCCAGGTTTTTTAACTTTCTCTGTGATTTTGAGTAAATTGCTGTTCCTCCTAGAAGGGCTTTTTCTTTTCTTTCCTTTCCTTTTTTCTTATCTGTAAAATCATAAAATTGGAATGAGTATTTTCTAGGATCCCTCTAGATGTGATATTCCATAATATGCTTCTTTAATAAAGTATTCCTGAATACTACAGCTTGAAGATTTGACGCCACTCTCTGAACTGTGATAGGTGGTCATTTATAGATTTCTTATGGACTTTTGTTAGACTTATTGGTCTGCCCGCCATCTCTATGAAAGAGAGAGCTCCTTGAGAAAAATCTTCATTATTTTTGCATTCTCTCTGATGCCTTGCGTGCGGTAGACATCCAACAAATATTTGCTGAATGAATCACTGGATTTTAGAGGACTATCTAAAATAAATTCCTAATGAGTAGCCAAAACGCTTTAGAAATAATTTGAATTTAAAATTCAGGCTGAGTTGGATTATTTTCAGGGGATGCTAAGACAAATTGACTGAGTTTCTTCTGTGAGCTTGCAATTCTTTAGCGAACGAAACAAATAAATTAGGTAGAATCTAGGGACTGTCCGCTCGAGAGTAAATAGTTAAGTAGCCCATTCAACTAGATCTGGTGCCACATGATACGATCAGAGACTGGCAGCATTATCACTAAGACAGAATAATGAAATGCTAATTATTTTTAAATTTCTAATTATAATTAAGTGCTGATTAGTATTTAGCTAATTAAATGGTACATAACTTTGCACATGATTGCATTTACCAGGCCAAGGAGTGAAAATCAGACCAAGGTGGTTGGTTAAATTCTAAATAGAACTTTTTGGATATTTTGGCTAACTTCAATTTTTTGCAAACATGTTTGCATAAATTTAATGTCTGTGTTAAGATCTGAGCAAGATGCTGTGGTTAGACTCTTGGCTGCTTCCATTTGGGGGAGGTATGAGGTGGGTACAAAGCCACCTGTAGTATTCCTTGGCAAACGTGGTACCCTGCAGAGCTGTGCTTTGCTAAGAAGTGGTGTGAAGGTTGTGTGCTTTCTTTCTCTGTGCTCGCCTGAGTCCTGATGATCTACGAGAGGTCTTTTTTCAAGAATGTGTGCTTTTCAAGTTATAGTAACTCAGGTTCTTATTCAAAAGCTTTGAAAATGACCTGCTTCATTGATAATGGTATTTCATGCCTGTCAATATTTAATGCACCTTCTCACCTTCACCCTTATTTCCTTCCATCTTGTGAAACA